TTGGGATAGTTTGACAAAGAAGTTCAGGAAAAGAAGCAATGCTGATCATATTGTTTCAATAAAATCTGTAATTAAAGGTAGCATTCTAGAAAACAAGAAAACAAGAGATTGTAGGATACCAAAACAATATTTTTTCTATTCTTAATAAAGGTTTCTGTTATTGATAAAAAACAATATTTTTCTAGTAAAAAAGGTTAGCATACACCTTGCTTAAAGTAGCATAAACCTATACTGAGAAAGGAATATCCTAATATGAACTGTAGAGACTGTTCATCATATCAAATTGTAGTGAAAATTATCAACAAAAAGGAATATCCTGTCAAAAACCAGCACTGTAGTAAAATGGCCATTAACTCTCTCCAAATATGTCAGATTTACAAGATCTTGGTCCTATTGGATTTTTTTTCATTATACAATGTTGGTCCTGGCTATCTGGAGTTTTGGGAGGGGTAGACTGGATACAGTCCTAACCTTTTGGCATTTTTTTGCACAAAGTGGCTGCTCTGAGACTCAAACCTGTGTTCTCATAATTGCCAGCCCAAGATTTTACCATTACACCAAGTAATGGCCCCTACCTTTAGGGATGCAACTTGAGTGTGGCCTCAGGTTAAGAATTTGTAAAAATTTGAATGGGCCCGGCCAGAAAGTCTGGGCTTGATACAGTTCAACTTGGGTACCCAACTTGCTCCTCTACCTACCTTGGTCTTATTGGATAATGACTCACTAACTTCTCTAATGACACCAAAATCATGTAAAACTAACTAGTTTTGGCTCTTGCAAAATAGGACAAAGAATAGTGAAGTGACTGATTCTGACTGCAACTTCTCAAAATTCTAAAAACTGTGTAAAAGACTTTTTGAACTATTATGATCCTCTAAGATGGCTAACCCTGTGCCAAAAACACCAACAGATTGGAAAACAATTTTTTAAAAAACTCAATTGCCAGATTCCAAATTACACAAAAATTATGATTTTGCTACTGGTATAAGAAATCAAGAATATGAAGAAACTTGATTTTTTTTATTCCATAGTTTCTTCTTCCCTTGTTTCTATAAGCTCGAACTCAAGCCGGATCACTGAATTCAGCAACCATAATGATGAATAAAATGATTTACTGAGAAACTCAACAGAGTTTCTGCATGGATGGTCATAACTTAGTTCTAAAAAACTTTTGTTTTATTATTATTTTATTTTTCATATTTTCATAAAATGTAAATGCATAGTAGTTTTATCTATTAACATTCCACCCCAGCACACTATATCCTTCCCCAAGAAAAAACCTCTCCCCAACCTCAAGATTTCTTCTCTACTGAGATGGGCTTCAACTTAGTCATCCACCAAACACTGAGAAAATCTTCAACTTTTTGTCCATCAAAAGAGAAAACTACAACATTCTAAAATCAAAGATCTCTTATAGCGTACAATCTAATCAAAGGTCCATCTAGCTATGTGAATTCTCCTTAAAAGGAAAGCCATCAAAACCTTGATGCTATAGTAGCTGTTCTATTGATCCTAGTCCAGAACCAAGCAATTAAGACAAGCACCAAATCTAAGACATCAAACGGAGACAAGATCCAATGCTTCAAAACTTTTTTTTTATAAAGGAAAGGTATTGTGTTGTGGTATAAAGCTGAAAGGAGTAGCCTATACAAAGCAAAAAAATAAAAATAAAAAAAAAGAATTATACGGGCAAGAGCCAGAAACCCACCAAAAAATGGCTGAAGACCTCTTGGCAGCTTATTCCAAAGAAATCTCCAGATAAGAACTCCTGAAATGAGGCAGTATAAAAAGAAATTTGCAGAAAAGGAGAAAGAAAAAGGTAGAAGCAATAGCCATTAATAGTTCGTCACTTTGGGATGCTTTGCCCTCAAACACTCTGCTCTGCTGTTCCTCTTCATCCAGACCCACCAAAGAACAGCAGGGATAAGGCCTCCAAACCTTCTTACCTCTACTTTTAAGACCCTTAATCATCCAAGATATTTGTCATCTAGATTAACTATCTATCTGTGTCCCCAAGTCTCACAACTCGGTTATGGTTTGTCCCACTAGAGGTGGCATATCATTGATGAGCTATACCGTGGAGCTAAAGAGCAAGAGTAGGTCTGTAGGCATGATATTATGAGAAAAACATGGGGGTGAATTACCTAGGCAAAGGCAAGAAAGTTAATTGGAGTTAAAAGATTTTACTGAAAGCTGGATATCGTTTGACACTGCTTTTGATCAACTAACTGGGTTTTACAAATTTCTATTGTAGACTGTTCTCCTCTTATAAGTAATGGTATAAAAATAAGGTGCAGACATAGATATGAAGATTGATTTATGCATAATGAAAAAGCCACTTGAATCCATTTTCAGAATCCTTGGACACACCAAGTCTGTTTTTCAGATTGCAATAAAAATGGAATTTATTTTTGATAACTCAAAAAATGGGAATGGGGATATTAAAGGCCAATTGTGCAAATGCCTGGATTATGAGGCTTGGATTCATTTCCAAAAAGAAACAGAATCCAATACAATGCAGTTTTAAGCCATCTACATTTTTTAATAAACTAAAAATTCCTGGAGAAGTCATTTTGAATTCAAAAAAAAAGGAGAAGCAAAATAATTTCAATCTCTACAATCCGAATGCAACCATTAAGTCAATCCCCTTATAAAGGATAGAGAATGGGAATGATGTATCTTCAAAACTGATACAGTCAGATATCCCAGTGAAAAGAAGTTCACAAAGAACTTCCTGAGTTTCACTTTTGGAAGGCAAAGAGTAAAAGATAATGCAGAATACAGCCAACTAGATGGTTTTCAACTTTTTTCTCACATTTACCATTAAAAATATCAAAGAGCCTTAATATAAAAAGAAATAAGTGCAAGCACAATTGTTTTAGCTAACAAACAAGGAAATAAAATAGACCCAAATAACCTCTCAACCACGAAGATCAAATATTAGCAAACCAGTTATATAGAAAGAACACGAATTCATTCACACAAGAATGTGAACTATGAATTGAACAAGTTCTTACAGACCTACAAATTAAGCTGTAACCATGACAATTTTCACTTTTCTACAATCATGAAATCAGTGTGGCATACCACTCTCAACAAAAAGCCTACAGTCTCTATAATCATTTCAACAAACCTAAAATAGGCACACAGACACAGTACAACAGGCTGGTATGAACCAATAGTTATCACTTAATGGGACAAAATTATCCTACAAGAAGAATCCATTGCCATTCTACCTAGGCTCAATCTGGAGTAAATTGTTAGTTTTTGCAACTGATGGTAGCAATTCATTTTTCTACTAACATTGTTGTTGCCATTAAAGTAAGAAATATACTCATAGGATATCTAAGGGTCCGTTTGGTTCGTAGTCGGAATCGGAATCAAAATCTTCCGGAATCGGAATGGTCCATTCCCATAGTCTGTTTGGTTCAGACAGGAATGGGAATGGGAATGGGAATTAAAATCAGAAGGAATGGGATTTCATTCCCAAAGAAGGGGCAGGGAATTGGCATTCCCCCATTTGGGGGAATGCCATTCCAGTAGGAATGGGAATGGGATTCCGATTCCACCCAACCAAACAGTTGGAATAGGAATAGCCCATTCCGATTCCGATTCCAGACCCCTATTCCAGCAAACCAAACAGACCCTAATTGTGCCCAAAACAGTAAATACTATCCTTGATTGGTAGCAATGGTTGGCATAATACCCAATCTCATGTTATAATTTTTCCTATTAACTTTCATAAATAACAAAACCAAAAGATGATAATATATAACAACCTATTGATTTACAATTTTGTGGAAAAACAACCCAGTCCAGTCGAACAATTTGGTCCTAATTCTAATGAAATGTTAAGACTAAAACCAGTGGAAGAAAAGGAAAATAATTAAACAGGCACAACTGTAACTAAAGAATGCAGAATATATGAAAAAGAAAAAGAAGTCCCACTCTCCTGCTGCATACCACAAATTGAAAAATGGTATTCAGTTACTCTAGTTTCCAAATAACCCACTATACAATATATAGCTGCTGCATACCAACACCTAGTAATCAATAGTTTTCATATCACCCTACCAAACACCCAGTTCTAGAGCTCCATGAAGCAACTAGGAAAAGACAGTCATGAAAAAATACAATATAAAACCAATTCAAATTGTTGGCAACCTAGCCAGCCAACCAACCAACAGGAAAATTTGTCACCCTCACCCCCTGCCTCCAGAAGAAAAGAGAACTGCTCAAAACACACTTGCCACTACTATATACAGCAGAGTAAGAAGTGGAATTCTAACATGAATTCATATGCTCCAGATCCGGATCCTCACTATGCAGCACATGGCAAATTCCACAGTGAATAGCTGGATGCCATAGAGGAACTATGGTTAATAAAAGTTATAAAACCACCAAATAATCCGTTGCCCAAAATGTATCTTTTCTAATTACCAAGCAAAAAAAAAAGGCATCTTTTCTAATCAGAGCAGAATTATGGTGATACGTGTAAAAAGCTTCAACATTTCCATTGATTTTTCTCTCATTCCCGTAATACACAAGATGATGCCCAGAATAGACAGTAAAGTCATCGTAACAAGCTGTCTAAGATCAATATCTACTACATCAAGCAAAATCTAAACGAAATCAACCTGAAGAGGAGACTGTTATGAGAACAGGCCAAAGAATTAACAGAGCCCTAATAATGGATACCCATAACCCACCTCAAATTTACACTCAGATACAGATAAAAATGAGTAGTTAGAAACCCTCTCAAACCAGCACAAGACAAGATGCTCCATTTAAACCTCTTCAGATCTCCAACCACCAAACCCATTTCCACAAATAACTTCAATCCCATAGTTTACTGAACCCGCTGAGCAAATTTATGAAACTAACAGTCCATCATGGAAACCATGAATCAAAATTTTCGAGCTCACAAGTTACTGAAAATCTACAAAAGAAAAAACACGAACCCAGATCGCATAAACCCAAGTCCCAGAAAAGAACATCACCTTTCTTGTCCCGCCGTGTCCCAAATCTGAGCCTTGATGACTTTGCCGTCCACATTCAAACTCCGGGTGGCAAACTCCACCCCGATCGTAGACTTGGACTCGAGACTGAACTCGTTTCGCGTGAACCTCGAAAGCAAATTCGACTTCCCCACACCCGAATCTCCAATTAAAACCACCTTGAACAAGTAATCGTAGTCATCTTCAGCTCTATATGCGGCCATCACCTTCACTGCTTCCCTGTTACACAATCGAGCAGGGAAAAAATCGATAGAAGAAACCTTCCCGTTCTACTATTTTCCCAGAAAATATATAAGATTTCTCGAGAAAGAAACGGGTTTCTATTTTCCCTTTCCTTCTCCTTTTCGAGAGTTCCGTTGAGACGGGAAAGAGTGCGAGAGTGCTGTTGGCTTGGCTGGATTCCAGAGTAGATGAAAGCCAAAGGCAGGATCCACGGCGAGGTGGTTTTCGAGGGAAACATTAAAATGACGATAATGCCCTTATTCGTGCATTTCTGTTTCTGGACCTTCTGGTGATCACGGGTTGGGGTGTTTTGGTCATTTTGAATGTTGATCATTAGTGGGCAGCTGTGGCTGAGGGCCTGAGGCTGAGCAAGCTGATTCTCATGACAAGAATCTCGAGATTTGGAGAAATTTCGGTGAGAAACGATAGTTCGATAAACAACGAAACGATGTCAAATGTTGGTCAATGGCAGCTTTGGCTTCGGAAAATTGGAAATTCCCTTCTGATTCTTTTTCCTGTTTTTACGGGTAAAATTCCCTTCTGATTCCAGTCCACGTTGCCAATGCCAAGCCAACATCATATCTAGAGATGGCAATTTGATACACCCCATCGGGGCTCCAACTACCAACTTGTTTTTGACCGCTGATCGGGTTCAGGGCATGTCTGTCCCGCCCCTACCCGATGTGGAGTGTTGAACCGCTTTTTCTTTTCAGACCAACGGGTTAGCCTTTAAGCATCCGATAGGGGTGATCATGGACCACGACCAGCCCAGGCTTAACAGTAACACCTATCCGAAATGCCATAGCTCAGTGCTAGGCCGGGCTTTGGGCCAGTGGGCCTATCTCATTTAAAACACTATGTTTAATAKGTAAGGGTAAATCTCTTAAACTATTAGTTATTTGACATGCGGTACGCCTATTGTTTAGTTATTGTCTTGTCGTATCCTTATTTTCAATTGACATGAAATTCATATATACACGTATGTATAATTTTTTTTCAAAACCCAATTTTACCTTTCATCCTTCTCCCTTCTTCTTCATCATCCTCCATTCTCGAAGGGGGTGGTGGAGGCTATGTATCTGGCAGTGGCGGAAACTATGGAACTGGTGGTGATAGTGGCTATGCAGGTACTGCTAGCGGGGGTATGGAGGTAGCGGTGGCGGTGGTGGAGATTATGGAGGAAGTGGTGGTGGAGGTTATGGGAGTGGCAGTGGGGGTAGTGGAAATTATGGAGGTAGAGGTGGCGGTGGGGGTGGAAATTATGGCTTTCACTGGATGATGGTGGAGGTTGCAGAGATTCAAAATGCGCTCAAGAATAGAGAGGAGCACCGTCACCTCGCCAGCAACGCTTGTCGCTGCAATTTCTGGACGACAGTGCAACGGTGAGAAAGGTTGGAGATCTCAAATCTGYAAGGAGAACCCAGATCTGAGATCTGGCCCGTCGTCCGCCGCTTCAATGTAGGTACTCACCGTCCATTTGAAATCTGCAAGGAGAACCCAGATCTGAGATCTGGCCCGTCGTCCGCCGCTTCAATGTAGGTACTCACCGTCCAACTGAGATCTGTAAGGAGAACCCAGATCTCAAATCTTCAAGGAGAACCCTGAAAGTCACCTACGGTTCGTGTCAAGACAAAGAACCCGGAGTATACAGCACTGATTTGAGTATATAACACTGGCAGCTTTCCGGAGTTCTCCGGCAGCGCTACGGCGTCGGTGCTGAGTATACAGCACCGGCCTCGGGAACATACTTTTCATTTCTTCAAGGAGAAGTTGCTTGAAGTAGCCTGAACCAGATTGGAGTTATCTGAAAAGATCCGAAGGTTCTGAAGGTTCTTCACATTGGAGCTTCTAGCTAGCTTAATCCCGGCAAGCAAGGCTTGAGCTTCAGCAAAGATGGGTGAGCTTGGAGTAGTACTTGAGAATAGAGCACCTTTAAATCAAGCAAAAAGAACTGCACCAACACCAGCATACCTAGAATTAATGGGAGAAAACACCGTCCACCATAACAGTTTCAAAACGTACATGTGTAGCACTCGAACGGGGTCAATATTATATGATCTCACGATCTTGTCCTGTCTCTGATTGGGAGCAAGATTCTACGCTGCTGGCTGGCTGATACACCTGCTGATAGATTTCAGAGCATCATGTAGATTTAGATTTATGCCATTAAAAATCAGACTGTTCCTATTATTCCAAATAACCGAGATAATTACAGCCATGTTTAAACACAGGTATTGTTTTTCCAGCTTTGAGAGCGTCGCATCATTAAGCCAAGATAAGAGAGTGGATTTTATGGTGTTGCTTTCTCTAGTCAAGAAACGGCAACCCAGTTGGGATCCAAACCAGATTGTCCTAGCTAAATCACAATGGAGAAGAGTATGTTCCACTGTTTTACTACAGCGTGAACAAACAGGGCACGTCTCTGACTGACTGGCATCTTTCCAATGGAGGTTTGAGCTTGCAGAAAATTAGGGCTCAAATTTCTAAGAAATTGGAACAAACACGAAAATTGGCTTCTCTGTTTTGGCAACAAGGAAGGAGGTGGCAAGGAGGAGAAGGAAGGCGTCTGAAGATGTGGATATGGTCTCCGTGAAGTACAAGCAGCTGGAGAGGGAACTCGAGGAAATTTGTGAAGCCGAGGATTTCGAGAGGGCGGAACGGGTTAGCGAGAGCTTTGCGGCAACATAAAGGGAGAATAAAGATGTTGTAAATTCATTGAGGGAAGCTGAAGCAGATTGCAATTTGGTGGAGTTGAAGATGCAGGAGGTGCTAGAGTTGCAGATCACAGCTAAAGAAGAAGGCGTGTCATTGCTGGAATGATTTCCGGAGGTGAACTGGAGGGCAAATTTGACATTTTGTTTCCTTCCCTATGACAATTGTCATGAAATTTAAGGGTACCGCAAGACAATAGCTAAACAGTAGGGGTAATTTAAGAGATTTACCCAATATGTAATTAGTGGAGGGGCTCATTCATAAATTATCAGGTTCGAGTCAAAAGCTCGGAAATTCGAGTTCAGCTACCTTTGATTGTAGGTCTCTCAAGCAGCCGAGGTCTCCCTCAATTGCCGAGGTGCCAAATCGAGGTCTTCCTTAACTACTGAAGTGTCTAGTTGAGGTTTTCCTATTAGACGAGGTGTCGAGCTAAGGTTTCCCTTAGCTAACAAAGTGTCGAGTTGAGGTCTCCCTTATTTGTCGAGGTGCTGAGCCAAGATCCTGAGAAGCATGTCCATCCGATGCCACCACGTGCAGCCACATCGTTGGTTCCGGATAGCACGCCGACCTCTATTCTACACACACCCTCATTGGGTCCATCCTGGGTGTCGTTGCCTGCCATGTGCACGTGTTACTGGTTAAGGCCATGTGCGCCTACATCAGTATCCAAAGATGATGTAGTTTTCGAATTGTCTACTTTGGATTGGTAGCTCAAGAATTTGTGGTACCAATTTGATTGTTGACGAAGGATAACCACCTACAGTCCTACAGGTTACATCTCAAGGGTGCTACCGTGGTGGGAGGGTTAGGATCGTGGTTTGAGATCAAACTCTAAAGACCTAGGGATGGTTTGATAGCAGCCTCTTTGAATGAGATAGGATCAGCTGAATCTATTTGGAGTTCACATCTGCACCCCACAACGTCCCACAGTACATCCTTGCTCTATATTGAGAACATCTGCTGATGATAATATCAAAATCAATGATGTCATCATCGGGAGATATTCCCAATACATGGCAGGGATATGTTGTGGGACGTTGTGGGGCACAGATATGAACTCATCTAATAGTTCTTTAATGGTCGTAAGACCAATCATTTTGTTCCACACTCATAAATACAAGTAATAGATTGAATGGTTGTGGGCCACATGCACGGTCATAGGGTGGAGAAAAATGATTGGTCCCATAACCTATAAAACGGTTACAAAATTCAGCTAATCCGTTTTCTCTTTAAACAGCACCAGAGAATGACCAATGCTTTCTGAGCAAAATTTATTATTTAATTAGAAAAATTAATATGAGTCTTACATCTTTGTAATTCACAATGTATTATGACCTATTTTGTTTGAAAATCACTATTAATTTATGTTGTTTTTAATGTGATTTAAGAGATTAAATGAGGTCTCATTTATAAACAATAACCCAATTTAATTAGAATTTACTATTTATTTTGTTTTTTTGATAAATAGCCAAATTTGTATCACTTCAAAGTGGATTGAATGTGTTTTAATAAACCACTTCTAAGGTAGAATTTCTATTTGAAAGTGGAATTAACCAATTTTAAAATCCTCTTTTCTAAAAAATTAGAGTGCCACGCGTTTAAATGAAGGGACTGTTACCTGACCACATTCCCTATATATAACACTTCAAAACAACTAAATCAGCTTAATTGAATCTTCAGCTCCTGTTATTTATCCCTTTATTGTTGTGAACCATTTACTCGCTGAATGGCATATTAGAAAATAAATAATTTATAAGAAATCGAAGTTTAATTTAAAGAAACAATATAATTTGAACCTCATAATTATAAAGTCCTATTCAACAAGAAAAAAATACAATAGAAATTAGAAATTTCTAGTGCTAAAACATTCCATCGAATTCAACTAACATAGTACTCATTAAAAATTCAAACTAATAGGAAATCAAATACAAAGCATTGACTTCTCTTAAAATTTTCTTTAGCATATATGAAGGAAGAAAGACACAATTACCAACCCCATCATCATTAGTTTATTCCACCAAAGCTCAAGATCTGCCTCTCCAACTATACAACAAAAAGAAGGATTATAGAAACATGTAAATGACAATTTATAATTGTTTTAGAAAAATACCAAATAAAAGTTAATAGTTATAAATAATGTATAAATATAAAAAATAACCAAATTAATTATAGGATCTCAAAATGGTTATAAAATGCATAATGTTCCACAATCAATAAATGAATTTACAACAAAACCTTCCCAAAGTTTGGCTAGTTTTTTGGTCACTGTGACAAAAATAATGAATCGAGGAGGTGATACAGTTTTTATTTTTAAAACATTGAAATGCTTTTCAATATTTCAATTTCCATTAGCTAGATCAAACAGTCAAAGTTGTGTTCATCTTTTGAACCTAATACTTCTTATTTAAAGAATGTGTATCCTTATTGGTTCAAAAAAAAGTAGCTAGTCATTATTAAAAAGAAGGTACAAAAAAGAGTATATAACAATTTAGCCTTGACATAAGGTTAATATTATATTTTTCAACATACTCATTATAAAGTCTACATATAAATCATAATATTTTTTTGTACTATGTTTCTATATAATTTAGATAGGGATTATACCAGAAACTAAGAAATCAAAAAGGATCAATACTTGGTATGTGTTTGGTACTTGGTAGTGTAGCCATTTATCTGGAAGCGTTTTTCAAATAAACGGCCATGCCATTACACGCCATGGATTCGTCTCTCTCCTTTCTTTTCATTGCTGCTAGTTAGGCATTGGCAAAAAAACTAAATTGTAAATAAGCCAAATCTAATCGCTAATATGCATTGGTATAATGATATGCATATCTAACGAAATAGGGAAAAATAAATGCAGAAAAACGAAAATAGGGAAAAACAAGAAGATAATAAAAATAAGGAAAATGAACTACTAGAAAATGGCAATAAACAAACTAATAAATGAGGGGATCCCCATTTATCATTTGGAAGACATGCTTTGTGTCTCACCCGAACATTTTGTAGGATGACACATAGGATCTAGATGAGCAAACCTTTGCTAGCAATGGTCGAACATTAGGAGAATGAGTTCACATCAACGCCCCATAAGGGGGCGGCCCACAATGTCCCACAGCACATCCCGATTTTGTATTGGGAATATCTTCCGATGAAGTCTCATAATCTCCCGTATTATCATGGAGAGATGTTCCTAATACAAGGTCGGGATGTGCTGTGAGGCATTGCGGGGCGCTGATGTGAACTTTAGGAGAATCACCATTTTTTGCTTCCTATAATGGAAATTATCTTAAAAATCGAGGCATGGCCAATTATCCCCATTTTTTGCAAATAAAACACATTCAACCAAACAAGAGTTCAACTATTTAAGTTGAATTTCCTACGTGGATCCAATGTGAAGGCATTTTTTGAATAAACAACCATGGTTCTAAACATAGCTTTAATGTTGGTCTTAGCTATCCAGAGTCTTGGACAGATAGACTAGATATGGACCTAACCTTTTGACAAGTTTTTCTGTACAACTAATTGTTGTTTGACTTGAACCCACTTTCTTACCCTTCTCAACTTGAGTTTTTACTATTTTACAAGCAAATGGCACTTAAACTAAGAAATCAATAAATAAATAATTAAAAATAAACGCAATACAAAAAAGAACAAACCAGAGTTATCATGGTTGTTTGATATAATTTATGCATACATACATATAAAACCTTCTTCCTAAAATTTCACTTTTCTTAATTTGGCACTTATAATCCTAGCCCCTCAAATTGGTTTATCATGGAATTTGTTTTTTTTCTACATCTCCTATCTAGCTTGACTCTAAGGCCTCGTTCTCTTTTCGGTAAGTTACTTACCTAGGTAAATGCAATTATCTGGGTAAGTTTTTTCTGAGAAACACTTACTCGGGCAAGTGCATACCCATGTCCTTTTATTTTCCAGGTAAATAAGGCAATGACCATTTTAGCCATAAAAATCCATTATTAAAAAGGTCATTCTTGGCTCATTCAAGTACTGGCAACTTTCCCCCTATGTGGGAAAGTTATTTACCCACCTAGGAGGGGTATTTTCTGATCCCCACGTAAATTTGAAAAAAGAACATGGGATCAATGGGAACCAAAATCCCATTGACCAACTTTCCCCCCTCTCAAAATCTAAAGAAAGAACGCCCCCTAATTGAGAATAGATAGCAAAAGAGTGGTATATGTAGGCAACTCTTGGGAGCCACTTTATTGTTGTTGTTTTTTGTGAAATACTTATTATTATTATTGCTCTTTGGATCCTTTTGTGTTTGTGTTTCTATGGTAATTTCCTTTTGATTAATCTTTTATTTGTTTTTGTCTATAAATATAGTCAATTTGCCAAATTGCATAAATCCCATATTCTCATGATCATAAATTTCTATTCATTTTCTATATTTCTTGTTGCAATTAAATTCATGATTATATTTTGGCATAGCAAACTGAAACCCTTCTTATTTAACACGAATGGGAGATATAACATATTATGATGCAGAATTGAGATTTTCTCTTATACCAAAAATAAAATCTTCTTAAAATGATCTTTCTTATGGTTTGAAGAGTGTCAATTAGGGGTGATTATGGGATGGGCTTTAGGACTAGCTATGACATTAAAAAATACAGTCACCCAACACATACTGTTGTTTATTCTTAAATAAATGAATGCAAAGATTTGATTCTCATAATTACCTTAAATAAATAGTTGGACAAACAAGTTATCATTCAAGGTTTCACATTGGCTAATTATGAGAATCAAGGCTTTGCATTCATCTATATAAAAACTATATAAGAATGGATAACCAAAGAGAATAAATTACACACTTTAACGCGAATTGGCTCATGGACATGTGTCAATTAATGAATATAAATAATATATATTAACATATTTTATACACACACCTAGTATATAATTTATATTTTTATATACATTACAGAATGGAAATGATCACCCCTAGTGCCAATGCACAATTTTTATACCCAACTAATAGGAACGATTCCAGCTATCATCTTGTGAAGAGTATGACTTTAGAAGAATTACATATTAATTAAAAAGCATTTTCTCAGTCTAATACTGTCATCAAATTATTAAAGTCATAAAATGAGTTAACAATAGTGGTAAACATATTTCAAATAAATCTACATGTGAGTCCCCATGGCTAAAGTTAAAATTAGAAAACTACGGAAGTCACTTAGAGAAGCCGAGGGAAGGAATCATAATAGTAAAATGTTAAGGATTTAACCAAGGCCCTGTTTGACACATCTTTTTGCATGGATTGTTAGCTGTTTAGAAGCCTGACAGCCCGTGTTTTGATCTTTTCTCATTTAGTTGGAAAAATATTGATCTAATTGCCAAAAGATGTCGCCTTGAAAAGACGTGTAAAACCCATTTTGGGCTATTTTCGGAAAGCTCCACATGGAGATTTTTTACTTTTTTTCATTGTATCTTTGTGCGAGAAAACGCACCTTAACCAAATAGTCTTCAAGCTACTAAGATCTTAATGCAAAAACTCACATTGTCTTTTGGCTATCAGGTCTTCCAAAATATCTTTCAAAAAAGACTTGTCAAACAGCACCCAAAGATAGTAATGTAGCAAATATCCTAAACTTTTCTATTTAAATTAAATATGGATGGTACTTGTAAGGGCAACTCAGGCCTTAGTGGAGGTGAGAGTGCCATTAGAAATCATATTGGCTAGTTTAAATTTAGTTTATCTAATTCGTATGAGTTTGGAATTTCAATAAGAGCTGAAATGTTAGCCATGCTTGATGGTCCCAACTTTTGTATGACTCATCACACTAAAGAGGTCAAAGTTGAAAGTGATTGTGGCATATTAAACATGGGGTAAGGTAAGGTCATATACCATCCCTAATTAGGTTGAATGCCCCTCCACTTAGAGAAAAAAATTGAGGTTACAAATAAATAAATAAGATGAATTGTTTGTGATCAAGCAATGATTGTGTCACTGTTACCACATAAGTATAGAATAATAAAAACACCATTTTTGCATGCTCCTCTAAGATATCTATTAATGAAAATTAAGCTTTAACACATTTTAATAATAATTTATTTTATGGTTTATCAACTAAAAATATATTTAATACTTATAATCATTTAGTTAGTTAACTTGAAGCATATATACTTATCACATGTAAATTAGCTTAATGATTTCTCAACATTATATCCTCCGAGTCAAATCTTTTAAAAGGCAATTTATATGGTACTAAAAAGTATCGTTCATAAAATACTTTAATCCATTAAAATATTCTATGAATTTTAATGAAAATATAGAAGAATTAATTATCAATTTATTGGGTATCATACATTTCTGGTGTCATAATATATGTATTTTTATTTTATATATATATATATATATATATATATATATATGTATGTATGCATAGAAATCTAAGCATGTATGTATGTATAAAAAATTGATCATGAGTGCATGCATAAGGTACATACTGTAAGAGGTAATATACATGAGAAAGATAAGAGGTATATTATTTAATATTTGCAAATTTATATAAACTACATTTGTATGATAAAAATAGAATAAGATAAAAATTAATATAAATTAAAGAAGTTTATTGGGGGTTTTTATAGATTCCTCTACCTCATAATTTTTATAGGTTTGTATGGTTATAACTTATAAACAATGATAGCTGGGGGAATCTATCACAATACAAGGGGATAATTTAACATAGGTAGGGGTTTGAGACAATACATTAGAAAACCAATAAAAAATTTGTGAGGGGAAACAAATCATAAATTTCACAAATTTATTTTATTTACCTGGATAATTGTCTCAAGTTGGCATTGTAGATGATAATGCTCATTTTTCATCCGATTCAAGGCTCTTATGCATCTAAAATGACAACATATTTGTCAATAGTTGAAATGTTTTAAAAATATATTATATAGACACAAATTTAAGAATTTCAAATAATACAATAAGATAAGCATGTATATTATGATGAATATTTAGGCAATAATAATATATTTAAATGATAAAATAAAAAAAGCATTAATTTAAATTGAAAAGTAATATTTTTGGTCTCTAAAAACAATAAAAAAGCCACTAAGATTACTATGCAAAATACAACACTTAAGTGGTTAAAGATGTTAATTTTTATCCGAATATTAAAGTATATGGTAAATTATAAATTACCACCCTATACTTTTGGGTAGTGACATTTATCCCCTCGAAATTTCATTTGTGACAAAGACCCCCTTGAATTTTCAAATTCCAACATTGTGCCCCTCACCATTAAATATGCAATAGAATAAGTTAATTTACTAAAATGCCCTTTTGATATTGTATAGGAAAGAAGATGACATTTCAAAATGATGAAAATGTGATAGGCAATCAATATTACCTCTTTCTTGCCTTTGTGTGATAAAGAAACATAAGTAAAGGGTTTACACAAATATGTAAGAGAAAGGGTAAAATGGTCCAAAAAAATGATAGAAATGGTAGTTTTAGGATTTAAAAATATTTAACAACTACAAGATGGTAACATGAGAATCTTTTTCGAAGTATACTAAGGGAACAAAGTGTTGGAATCTGAAACTTTAAGAAGTCTTTGTAGCAAATGAAAGTTTGGGGGGCTAAGTGTCATTACCCCCAATGTGCAGGGTAGTAATCTGTAATTTATCCTAAAGTTTATTAGTATAATTATTATGCAAAAAAATAATAATAATTTCTTTTGAATTACATGAATATTGAGCATTTTTGGTGTCATAATTAAAAAGTAAATAATATACTATTGAATGGCACATGCAAATATAATATCAACCAAGTCCATGAGGAAATGTTTTTTACCCATCTTTAAAATGACCACTAGAAACTCGGATAAATTCTGTACAAGCAAGTACCAATAAACGAGCACCAATACTGCATCACCAAATGCAAAAAGGAAAAAAGAAATTGCATAAATATTATGTGGATGGAGCATATAAAATATTTGTTTTTATAATATGACTACCAAATCTAAAACAAAAAGGATATTAACTTAAAAGGATCTATTAATTATCTTTAATAATAAGTATTAGTTAATTAATTAAAATTTTAAAATTATTAGAACATCTAATTTCAATGATGTCGAACTCTTAAGAATAAACTAAATTTTTTTAATATTGTTTTGTTAAATAGTTGTATCAATAATAGTTTCAAAGGAAAGAAAAAATTTATTTTTGTATTTTAAAAGAAAAATATTAATCGCAAAGTCAACATTTTTAACCTCCACCATTGTAACTAATTTGATTTTAAAAGAACCAAGCCCATATATTTTTTTTTTCATCAGATCATTTTCTTCAAGGTTTGTACGTTGCCTCAACTATACTTATTTATATTGTATAATAGAGGAGAGATGGGAGGCCAAGAGTCCTTTCACCTCAATGCTCACATGGACCTCTCCCTTCTCTCTTTTCTCACACATTTGATTATTTGTTCTTTTAAATTGAATTATCAAAATATAAAAATCACAATAAAAACTTTTTTGGGTCTTAATTTTCTCTAATAAAATCCATCATTACTCTCTTTAATAAGATCATCCTTAAGACTCTCTCTCTCTCTCTCTCTCTCTCTCACACACACATACACACATAGTGCAAGGTTATAAATTAGATGGCTTTGGTTGAATTAAGGGCTAACCCTAAGAATGGACCTTGGCCTAGACCTAAACTGATGTCAAAATCCAAATTTGCCAACTCGAACCTAATTAAATTTTCTATTCAACCCCTTGCATGCATGGGTTTAATTAACATCTCACCTACTTATTCATATATTAAAGTCAAGCCTATTAGCCCATATAATTAGGACAAGGCTTAGATAATGATGATAACAACATTATTGATTATTTCGTGCCTATATATAGAATTGTAAAATTTATTTACTTATTACCTAAGACTACTCCCTTTCACCTGCATTACATAAACTTTTAGCCTTTGATAGTCTACAATAGGACGGTCCCTACAAAAGAATTTGAATATAAATCAAATCTATTCCATAAAATAACTAATAAATTTGGAAGCTAAAATTAAACACAATAAAATAAATTAGAAATAGAATTACAAAATTTTGGACATTTCAGCAAGGGCCCTTTGTGAATCATTTAAAAATGTAGCAAGTGTATTAGCAACAAATGCTGGATCACTTAATTCTTGTAAACTTTGTAACTCTGCAAATTGTAAAGAATCCAAGATGCCCTACAAAAGATGACATGAATGAAAAATAATGATCCATCCAATGATAAAACACAATTACAAAAAAAAAAGTATTTCAATATTAATTAAGAAAACACTTTAAATTGTCAAGCTCAATTAAGAGTTATTTCATTAGATAATGAAACAACATTCTTTTTTCAAACAAGAGCAAAACCTTACATTGGAACCAAATATTTATGAAAAGCTATTATAAAAATAAACAAATAAATATCTATAAATTTAGACTATAATTCATATAAAAATAAAATAAATATGACTCTACAAAACCAATAAAATTGGTATTAAAATAGTACACTATCTATAAGTTGATTATTCATAATAGATAGGAGATGAACAAAAGAAAAAGCTACATAATCACCAATAAAGTAAAGCTTTTAAAAAGAAATTAACAAGAACAAAGTAGTCTCAATTACCTCATCAAATAGTGATTGTATGTGTGCTCTAAGCCGTGCTTTGAGATCTAAGATAGACATTGTTAAAAATGAAAGAATTATAATGAAAGGAAATGAAATTGAATTGATATTTAAAGTTTTAAACCATATAGAGGTAATCCATTTTATAAATTGTCTTTGGGATGAGACAACTAAGAGGAATTTATTATTGTTATATTATACACTGAGTTCTTAGTTGTCTGGAATGTTCTCACAATTAAATTCAAAAAATACAAGCGCATCCATTCCTTCTATTGTCGTTTTACAAGTTTTTTTTTCTTTTTAATGTGTCAGATTTTTATCTTTAGTTTCAAAAAAATATCAAAATGTTATAGATAATGAAATGGTTTTCAATACTCATGTAATCTCAATGACATTAATTGCCTATCGATTATGATCATATATATATATATATATATATATATATATATATATGATTTATAATATATATAAATTAAATTGGGGAAGAGACAAAGTAGGGTGCACATGAGACCCACTGGCCATCATAGCATGGGAGAGCTTGTGGTTCTATGCCATCGAGTGATTACCAATTTGGTTTTAATTTTCTTTCTTAACCAATATTTTCCATTGTTAATTGATTAAAATAAATATTTGAGATCATCTAATCACATTTACAAATGTCCATTTTTATTTAATAATCCTTACATTTGGAACTCATCTCCAAGAAATGATAAATAATGTTCATATATTTCATATGAACCACTAATTGTAGTTTTCTTTACATTATTAGTTAATTAAGTATCGAGTTCATGTTTTTCTCCAAATTAATTTTAAGTGGAATTATTTTAAACTAAGACAAATGATTTATATAAATTTATTTACAAATTACTAAATTATGATATATTATCTAGCAATTTAACGAGACTTGATATAATGGCACTTGCTTGCAATTCTTCTAAACCTTAAAGGCGTTTGGATAAATCTTTGAGTTTCACTTTCTTCTAGTTAACAATCAATGCAACAAAACATTTTCCATGTGCTCCTACACCTGTTTGTACAGTTGGGCAGGTTCATTCTTGCACGATATGATTAGTACTCATAATTAAGATTCTATCTCCTTTACTTCATTGAGACAAAAACATTAAATGAAGTGAGTTTTGTTATTGACATGCATATTTATAAACAAAAAATAAGTGAGCAACAACCACCGTACCATATTTAGGAATCTTTTCAAGTTTCAACCAAGTGTCAAATTCATATTAAAAGAAATTTATTTATTGTCTACCACGTTTATGATTCCAATTGATTGGTCAGATATTTTTCAGATATCATATTTTTTTTTATATCATAATTAAATTCTTCAACTTTCATTTATTCACACAAGTAAATTCTAAAATTTTCAACGTTGATGGCTTGTATTATCTTATCTATACTATTATAAGATTGTCTTAGTTTATGTATAAGTTATAAAAGTTAAGTTTAATTATCTTTAAAATTTAACATTTACAACAAGTATCCATTTTATAATAGATAGATATGTCATTTATGAAAGAGAAATATTCTAAATTAAATTAGCATAAGAAATGCCATATCTCGTTATTTCTATATAATGGGATCATTGGTCGCCTTACCTACCCAATAGAACTGCATTGATCTAACCATGTATTGGCTCTGACCTCTGGTATTGAATTTTGTGTCCCGATTACATTTGAGCCAGAACCGGTTTTAATCAATTTAAGACCTGACCAATTGGACTGGATTTGGTCCAATCCGGTCCAGTCTAATGTGAATCCATTACAAATGGATTCAGTCTAATCCAGTCCAATGTGAATTCATTACAAATGGATCCGGTTCAATCCAGTCCAATGAATATTTTAGACCATTTTGGACCGGTCCAGAGATTGTCGAATCTGGTCCATTGACACCTATATTTTTATCTTCTATCAGTGGACTAAATATTGGCTCAATCCAATATAAATTCATTATGGATGGACCAGGTCAAATTCAATATATCATATTGGCTCGTTCAATCTGTCCAAATTTAATGTCTTATTGGTCCATCCAATCCATCCAAATGGATTTTGATTTGGACAGAATCCAATCCAAAACGGGTCCATTGACACTCCTAATTATATGTAATTAATAACATATAAAAATATATTTGTTTTATTGTAATTTTTGCTACATTGTATGTCTAAAAGGGTAACTTTCGTATAGTTTATTATTATTATTAAGAGATAACCACTGGTTCTGGGAGGAGAGAGTGGAGGATAATTTCACGTGGTTCTGGGAGAAAATTTCGACTATCTTCTGCCACCTCTGGAAAAACAGATACAGTAAAACTTTTAATAATAAATCCCTCCCACAAAGCTTGGTTATATTCTACCCGCAGATCCTGACAAAAGAAAATTCCAAAAAACATAAATTGGATCAAATGGCTACCTCCGAACCCAAATTCTATAAAAATTAATTTTGATGCATCGGCTAAAATTGGATGATAGTTGTGCTTATGGGTTTATGATGAGAAACTATAAAGAAATCCTACGAGCAAAGATGGGCAACATTGGAACCACATTTATAGAGGTAGCTGAATTTTGGGCTGCCCTTGAAGCCCATAAACTTGCTTTAGGTGGCTCGCTGTTGGTGATAAAAAGTCTATAAGGTAGCACAAACATCCTATGAGGTGTATAGCCCATTTGATTTGCAAGAATAGGGGTCTGGAATCAGAACGGGAATGGGCTATTCCAATTCCAACTGTTTGGTTGGATGGAATTGGAATCCTATTTTCATTCTTGTTGGAATGATATTCCCCCATTTAAAAGAATAGTCATTTTCTGTTTCTTTTTTTGGAATTAAATCTCATTCTTGCTTATTCTAATTCTCATTCCCACTTTTATCGATTTTCAAAAAAAAATTCTCACTCTCATCTAAATCAAACAAACTATGAAAATAGAATAATAGTCTGTTCTGATTCCAATTTTAATTCCGATTTCAACTATAAACCAAACAGACTCTAAGTTTCTTATAGAAGGTTGCCATCTCAATGCAAACCAAGCGTCTCCAAGGATAGTATACAATCACACGAGAAGGGAAGTAACTGTGCAGCGAATTGATTAGCTAACAAAGGACAGAAGTATTTGTTTCAGAACTTCCCCTGGTATTTAAGTTTTATTGCCTTTTCGGAGGCAGCTGGCCGGGCCCATCCTCGTTGGTGTTATGTTGTTTTCCATAAAAAAGTTGCTAGTTATTATTATTTCATAGGTAATTAAATGACAAGGTCTAACCGGGTCGACCCGATTATCCAATTTACAATTGGATCGGGTCTAAGTATATTTGATAGAAATGACAAATGGCTCAGGACTGGTCCACCTTATCCACTCCAGACCCATCCGACCCATTGATAGCTCTAAGCATCACCTACACTAAAATCTAGAAATTGGAAAAAAAAAGGCCATAAATCAAGTGGATATCTTATTTTTATATCACAGAAGCTATGTTATGGGCCTCCCGTTATAGATAGTCCAATGTCAGGTTCGAGTTTTCGTCTGGGTGTCTGCCTGCCTGGGTTCAGGGAGCACTTGCCAGGTGGCAGATGAAGCGGTTTGGAGGGCCCATAACTTGTCAAAATAAACAAGTTCTCCACAATATTTTGATTCTGGGCCTCATGAAGCTTAAAGTTAAGCCCAATATAAGCCCATAACTAACCTTTATTCAGAGAATAAAAACAACAACAAACTACACATTATTTAAGAATCTCTGCAATATTGGTGAGCTGAGCTGTGCTTTCCCATCAAAGAATCTCTGCTGAAAATAGTACAATGAGGATTATCACATTGTTTTGTTGTCATTATTTGGGTCTGTAATTTGGAGAAACTTCCATGAGATGACCCATCTCAGCTGGCAATCTTTCATGGGATGATTACTGGTTAGACAGTATTCTCTACTACAGCAAATGTTGGGTTGTAACCTCATCGCCAGAGAAAGAGGGAGATCCTTTAAATTCGATTTCAATAAAGACTCGAGTAAATTCTACAGATAACTGTAAATCTTCAACCCAGACTGTACTCAGCCCAGAATCGGTGAATTGGATTTTTTTTTTATATATTTCTGGGACTGAATTTGTGAGGTTATTTCAACAATCAAGAGTCAATACTAATTCCCCTGATGCTTCTCAGCAGTCCAGTCTTTTCAACAAACTCACCAGAGACCATTGGGAACACCATCCAAAGGAAAGTCATTCTCTTATTTATAACACCTTCAAACCAAATCTTCCCCAGCAAGTCATGGTGAGTCTTGCTAGGGAAGTCCCAACTAAAACTTTCTCCCAAAGTAATTGAGGAAGAAAGGCAAACCCTAAAACAATGGAACGTGTCACAATCTTACAATGAGACCTCAAAAGGCTCACAACCTTTTCTGGGATGGTCCAGGGCTGTAAGAATATAGGGAAGAAAGACACAGGTTGTTGCTTCAAGGAAAGACATTCCTCAACCTTCAACCACCCCAAGTCTCTTTCCATTCTCAAGCTTAATTTCCACTAGCTCTCCCTTCTATCTTCTGTATCCTTATTCTCTTCTCTGGGTGGTTTATCTGTGATCATCAAACACATGTCTACCTCTGAATCTGAAGTTTCTTCACCTTCTGTAAGAGTTCAGTTGGTGTCAAAATGGGTGTCTGACCAACTACTCGGCAAATTCTCGGATGTGTCGGAATTCAGTTTCGACTACCAGCAGAGTGGGTTGTGGTCTCCTCCGGTAAGAAGAAGTGTTTTCTTGAACTCGCCGGATAATATATGCACTGACAATGAAATGCTAGCAAGGCTAAAAATTGCTAATAGGATACGCCGTCCCCGGAGGCACAAGTTTTGTTTCAAAGTATGAACTTAGTTCAATCCCTTAAACTGTTTAACATTGAGAGAGAGAGAGAGAGAGATTTGAATTTGAGTTTGAGTTAATCTTGGATGTTGATGATCTTTTTCTCAGGCGTTTTGGTGTCTCGTGAAGTGAACGTCTGCGTTGCGGTGGTGCCAAAGCAGTTGTCTCGCCGGAGGTGGTTTACGGTTTACCTCATGTTAGCAGTAGGACAAAAATACCCTTGAACTTTGCAAGTAATTATCAAATGTCACATGTATCAAATGAAAAATTATATACAAAAAAAGCAGATTCCCATGGATCCTTTGTTGTTTTACGCGGTATTATAATATACAATTATATTCTTGGTAAGGGTCATTCATTACCTGGTTTAACGGTGAGAATACCGGTTAAAATTGAGCGTGGTCAGGTTGGCTTTAACATCCATTGTGAAAAAGTAAAATTATCTACTTTCACGATGGATCAAAAAAGAAGAAGAAAATCTTGCGACTTGCGAGGACCAATTGAGGGTAATGGACTTTTAATTCAGTATTGGAATCCAAATTGAAAATTATCCATTTGATGGTGAGCGATTTGGTTGTTTCGGACATTGGTTGTTTAGTTGGTCGGTCAAATGTGCTCCAATGCTTAGTTAGTATTTGTTGTATGCGAGCTGAAAGTTTAAGAATCGGAGAGTTAGAATATACTAAATCGCGCGTACCTTGTGTCATTGGAATGGGTGTCTTTATATAGGCGTTGTTTGACGTAGGCTTCACACATTACGTCCGAGATCTCCGGGAAAACGTGCTTAATTGGTTCGAAGTCCTCGGAGATAGCCATGCATGTAGACCAGTCTTCACGCCTTGTTCGATTTCCTCTGGAACATTTGGGGCGGGGGCCAACTTCYGAGAAACCCGTGAGTGATGGGATATGCATGTAGAATTGGTCGGTGAGCACATATCGCAGGTCGCCACCTGAACCTCAATTAAATTGGCAAGCCCTCGAGGGAGGTCGCTCCTCATCGAGGTCACTTTGACCATATTGACGAGGTACCACAGGTCGGCCCTGGATGAGGTGTTGTAAGCCGCCCTAAGTTGTGGACGAGGTCGCCAGCTAGATTTCCACCAAGTCGGTGGAGGCAGGTTGCCAGATTGGTAGCAAAAACAGGTTGCCATGTCGGACTCCATCACTTTGGCTAAGGCAAGTCATCGCCTAGGTGGTGCCGGGGTGTCATCCGACTGTCCTAAGATGCCATGTGTCATGATGTCACTAGAGGGCCAAATCTGTCATGGTGTCGAGGTGTCATCCATCACTTTGGCCCAGAGTGACTAATTTAAGGAGCTCGTAGCCGTAGGCGTCGGTCCAGTTTGCTCCCCAGGTTGGAAGAGTCTAAGTGTTGAATGCGGCTGTACATAGGACTTCACCGTCTTGATTATCGAGGCGCAAGAGCGAATTCATCTGCTCGAGGAGAGGCAAAGCAAGCACTTTGAGGACATCTACCTTACTAGGGATGCAACCATCAAGGAGTTTTGGAATTCAGCCCAATACCTAAAGAACGAAGTTTGTCATGCCATCCTCAAGAGTGGCTTCTAACTTTGTGACTGCCTTGCCAGGTCACTCCACTCAAGTAGACTATAACATAATTCCCTCGAGCTAGTTCTCGAAAGAATAGCCGACGAGGTCGATGTGGAGCTTGAAACCAAGGTGGAGATCGGCTGTGAAGAGATTGGCCAAGTTTGCACGTCTGCCACGGTGCTGAAAGCGAACTAATCTTCCCTACTTTTGTTTCTTTTTCTCTCTCCTTTTTTTTAGTTGGCGGTGAGATGCCGATCTCCTTGAAGATCGATTTACACATGTTGCCGAGCTAGATAAATAGGGGGCTGACATGCTTAGATCGGTCTACCTATTGTTGCCGTGCTTTCGAAGTTGGCTTGAGGGCCCCTTAGCAAAAAAGTGGTATGGATTTTCCTTAGAACTCAATTTGAGCAGGTTACCAAAGCGAATGGTTGTTCCATAGTAGCTTTAAATGTGGTTGCTTCTATGCCACCGTGTGGGATTGGCTTCTCCGAGTAGGTGCTTACGAGACTATAACGTACATGTATTGCACCTGCTCCTGGAACTTCTGGCCGCCCTCTCCTACTAGAGCTATGGGAGGTTCACCTTGAGGGGCGGCTCTACTGTCTATGGGTCACCTGCTCTCATGGGAACCACAAAGGGCTCAACCTATGAGGCCGGTTCCACATTCAGTTCGCTTCCAACCAAGGTTCAAAGTATCAGAAATGCAAGGTATATCGAAAAGGTAATTTTAAGAGACGTATCGAGATATGCTTTGGAAACGTATAGATACAAACGAAAAATCAAGATACGCATGTATACACTAGAAAATCCAAAAAAAAATCCTTTAAAATATGAATAATAATAAGTGAGTTTTATGTGAGTATAACTAATTTGTTTAAACATAAAACCATTCTTTAGTGATTTATATACAGTATCGGGATATAATTAGTAACCATTGAATAGAAGAACTAAAATGTTTGTATATATACTAATATTTATTAGTTAATATTTATTATATATAGAATTAGATAATATTTATTATGTATACAAGTTAATATAGAATTAGATTGTCGTGATGACTCAAATCCCATGGCTAACTCTTTGGCTAAGGATATTGAGTCTTGTGCTCTCTGTCCACACACAAATAATACAACCCAAAACTTTTTGGAGCCTCTACCATTACTCAGCTGCTTGCTTCAGCTAGCCACACCAGCGGTAGATGAAAATCATGACACGGCCAGCAATGAAGACAGAAATGGCGTCACCGTAGCGTTACACTTACACATTGGTCTGCCTAATAGTTCGAGTTGCTCCACGTACACGAAACCAAATGATATGGTGGGAGACAAAAATATTGCTGTACGTGTGGGTACCTAGTATTGGATACTGACTCCCGTGGAGATACTCATCGGCTACACCTATTTTTCGTATCACCTCTACAAGAAAACCTTCAACCGCTACAACAACCTTCAACCATTGCCCTTATTCAGGGCAAAAATATCATTCCATCGTCTTCCTCTTGAGAGAGCAGCAGAGGACGATGATGAATAGTATTAATGCCCTTTTTCGATATTTTTCTAAAAAAGTTACCCTATTTTAATTATTTTATAAAAATATTACTTTTTATTGATATTCAAGGCAAAAAGTTGCCTTTATCTGCTAGAAGCCCTTTTTTCTTTCTTTTTTTTATTTTTTACATTTAAAAAATGAGAAAGAGGGCATAATGGAAGTAATGACCTATCATTTGATGATTTCGCACATGTGAGATGTGGGTATTATGTGTGGCTGACATGTTAAAAGTTGAAGGAAGACCACCGTCTCACACCAATGACGAGTGTAGGAGATCTAAGCTCGTCTAAGGTCGTCATCCTCGTCAAATGGAGCAAAGGTTTTAGAGACGGTTGAAGTCCTCTTTCCTCTTTGAAGAGAAACTAACAATAATGTCAAAGGGTATTTTGGACCATAAAAAAGTAGTTTAGGTATTTTGAAAAAATAAGTGTCATGTGGCATTACGTGCTAGCAGATAGACATGTTCATGGGCCGGGCCGGGYTAGGCTTTTACTTTGTATTAACAGATTTTTCTAAGGCCCGAGCCTGAGCCCGGCCCGACCATCGGGCCAACAACTTGAGCCCGAGCCCGACCCTCATAAAAAGCCCGAAGCCCGAGCCTGAAATTTAGCCTATACTGTTACTACTGCTGAAGCAGCTAAATAGAGAGAGAGATTATAAAGAAAAGAATAAAAAATGTATATATTAAATTATAAATATATATTTCAATAAATATTATATTATTTATATATTTTATATAATATATATAATGCATATTATATATTTTATAAAATATATAATGATGAGTCGAGCCGGGTCGGGCTTAGGCCGAGCTTTCTTGACAAATCCTGAGCCCGACCTGAAACACAGTTGGGCTTACTGTGATAAGCCCGAGATTAGGCCCGCGGGCCTAATTACATGACCAAGCCCGACCGGGGTGCGGGCTGGGCCGGGCCGAGTCATCGGACTACCCGACCCATGAATAGGTAGTGACAGATGCATATATCCGTAGGGGGTGACTATGTCCATTGTCAGAAATTATAAATGTACTTTAAGGCCTTGTTCTTTTGTAACAATGCAGGTAAATGCACTTACCCATATTCTTTTAATTTTCAGGATTCCAAGTAAATAACAAAATGATATTTCTACCCACAAAAAAGTAACAATTAAAATGGGTAAAATAGTTCCATCCAAGGTTCTAAATATTGATACAAGGCGTATCAACCTGATGTTTTTTTTATGTTTTATTTAAGTCCTGGCTACCCTTTGAAACATGGCCTGACCTGATACAACCCATATAGGGGCGTATCAAGAAGGCCTCGATACGAGCCAATACATAATGATATTTTGAACCTTGGTCCCATCATGTTTTGTAAAAATTTCTCCCAACTGGGAAAGTTACTTACCTACTTAGGAGATGGATAAGCTTTACCCAAGAAAGTAAGGGTAAGTTTACTATGGGGCCCATTATTTAATGCAAAAAGAAACATATAAAAGTTGGTCAATGGATAAGTTCTTGTGTATTTACTAAAATCATATGGGTAATTTAAGTATTTAAAACAAGGGAAAATTCACCTGTGCTGAACTTTAAAATATAACAATTTAGTACTGAACTTTCATTTTGCTACTGCCTGACGTTAATTTTTTACTGTTCACTGCCATCGTTTATCATCTCCGTTGAACACCGCCACTGTTCCCACAAAGAAAAAACCAGAGAAAGAAAACCGGTGTTCATAGAGTCGGAACTAAGCAAAAGTTTATTGCCACTGTTCCGCACTGTTCACCGCCTTTGTTCCAGCCTATGAACACTGTTCACCACCACTGTTCCAGTCCGAACATGATTTTTTGCATCATATTGTTCATCGCCACTGTTCACCGCCACAGTTCCTCGCCACTGTTTTGACCTCCTATTTATTATTTGATCCCTGTTCTGCGATTCTTTCGATGGAAGACATACACAGAAACAGGGAAAAGGATATAGAGAGGTCCCAAAGGAGGTGGACACATGATTTGATCTCTGTTCTGTGATTCTTCCGATGGAAGACATACACAGAAACAGGGAAAAGGATATAGAGAGGTCCCAAAGGAGGTGGACACATGATTTGATCTCTGTTCTGTGATTCTTCCGATGGAAGACATACACAGAAACAGGGAAAGAGATATAGAGAGGTGCCAAAGGAGGTGGACACATGATTTGATCTCTGTTCTGTGATTCTTCCGATGGAAGACATGCACAGAAACAAGGAAAGAGATACAGAGAGGTCCCAAAGGAGGTGGACACAAAGGTCCTGGTTGGGGCTACAATTATTTGTTTTTTGGTAGGCAGCAACCGCCACTTTCAATGATTTTATGTACACTGTAAATAAGCACGTTATATATATCAAACTTAATTAAAAAAAATCCTCACGATTCATCAACTAGTTGCAGAAAAACTGCAAACAACCCCGTGGGTGGTATGATATCGGGAGGCATCGACGGTGGTGGGTCGATACTCGAAGGCCTAGGTGGTATTTGATCCGGCGGTTGAGGTGGCACTACATCCGACGGCTTTGGTATTGGAATGTCAGAAATGCTCGGAGACGGAATTGGGGGTCCTGGAAATTCTGGCCCAAGATTAGGCCTCGATGGTATCTGAGATGGAGGAGGATTGGGGATCCCTACTTCAGGCGGCGGCACGGTTTCGATATCTGGAGCTGTACCAGTTGCAGGCACCTCCGGTGGGCTTGTTGCAGGTGGATCAGATGAACCGAGGGCAGCTAACACATGACAAAGTGAAAGGCGGACGTGGGTTGGGTTGGTCTGTAGCAAGTGGTTTACACCGCATCTCAAGGAAACCGCTTTGCAAGGATATGTGAGAGAGGAGATGGAGCGGTGGAGTTTCGTTGCAACTCATGAATTTGACATGTAAAGAGAGAAAGAAGATGATGAACAGTATATTTTTTAAGGGTAATTTTGATATTTTTAAAAATTTTAAATCGCACAAGAGGTCATGTAATATGTATAACTGACGGTCTATTATGGGTAGGTACTAGATTGTTGCAAAAATGAAAGTTCGGGTACTAGATTGTCCCATTTTAAAGTTCGAATACTAAATTGACACTTGGCTTAAAATACAGGGTACCTATAGAGAATTTTCCCTTGAAACAAACCTTCTTGCCCAACTTCTTGGTCTAGCTTCAGTTTTTATACAAGGCTAAGCTTAGGATTGGCCTGAACATGTTTTATTAATGTAAAGGCAAAGCCTAGCCCGACCAATGAATAAGTGGTGTTGTGCGAGATAAATGGAATTCATATTTCATCCTTACACCKTATTTACAACCACTTGGACTGTGTGCCGTGAATTATCCCCAATGAATAAAATTGAGATGTTCCCAATGAATGGCTCCAAAATTCTGATCACAGTGTGAGTATGGTTTTGTGATGATTGAATCCATACTCGTGGTAGGAGATAAACTTTCATCAAGGCAAACCTGTGCCTGTGCCCACACCGTTTTAACAGCCTTTTGCAACCTTGCGTCAAGAATATCTCCCCATGAAATAAAAAACATAACTACGGAGATATTCTTAATGCAAAGCAATAAAGGCTGCTCGAACGGGGATTGAAGTCGAACTCTCGTGGTAGTATAAATCTAAAACTCACCATGTCACTAAATTGACGTTAAAGAAACTAATAGGTGTTAACATATTACCATTTTACCCTTCATAGAAAAATATAAAATACATACATATATATTTTAATATTTTAACTAAAAAGACATGAAAAGAGGAAAAAAAGTTCAAAAAATATTTTCAAATATAAAATACATAAAAACACAAAAAATATAATAAATTATAGAAATTGAAAACAAAGTAAAAAATTATTTTTAAATTATAGAAACTATAAAAATTGAAAAACAAAATCAGAAAATAAAGAATGTAGAAAAACACTAAAATTTATAGAAAAACACAAAAAAAATTGCAAATAAATAACAAAAAATACAGGAAAATGTATAGATCGTAGAAAATAGAAAAATGAAAAAAATTGAAATTATAAAAAACATTGGAAATTATAACAAAACATTAAAAATGCAAAAAAAAAACAAGAAAATTGAAAACTAAAAAAGACAAAAAAACTCAAAAAATATAAAGATTGGATAAAAATAGAAATTGCAAATATACATAAAATGATAAAAATTATATAGAAAAAAGTAATAAGTTTTAGAAAACAAGAAAATGATAAGTTTTTAAAAAAAATCAATTATAGAAATACATAAAGTGATAAATTTTAAAAATTTATATATATCAACTAAAAAGGCAAAAATTTTAGAGAAAAAAGAAATGCTCATTTTTTTTAAAAAAATATAAATTTTAGAAAAAATAATAAATTGGAAACTAATAGAATGATAAAAAATTTCAGCTAAATCAAACAAAAATTAGACATTGCATCTAAGGAATATTGCAATAAATTTTCAAAAAAAAATATTTCAGACAATCAAATAAAAATTTACAATTTTTTTTTTGCATAAATTTGTAAAGCCCTCGATGGAGATTTACATTCTAGATTCAAGTTGTACAAATTTACAATACATCACAAATATTTAAAAAACTAGAAATCTCTGAAATTTCTGATCATTGTATTTGTTCCTCCACATCTTCAAACCAGAAATATGAGCGAGTAAGTGAGGGATAGTGGTGTTGCAGTGGCGGCCTTCAAACAATAGATCTAAGTGATAGAGAAAGAGGGTGGTGTGGCGCCCACCTATTGTAGATCTAAGCGAGAGAGGGTGATGCGACATCTAGGAGATCTGAGCGAAGTGGTGCTGTGCCCACCTACTGTAGATTTAAGCGAGGGAGGGTGGTGCAGCATCTTGGAGACTTGAACAAAAGAAAGGGTGGTGCAACACCCATCTACTATAGATCTGAGTGAGAGAGTGTGGTGCAACGTCTACCTTGGAGATATGAGTGAAGAGAGAGAGAGAGAGAGAGAGAGAGAGAGTTTTGGGAGAATAAATCTAACCCTAAATGAGCCTTTTTCTCTAATCTGCTAGTTAGGGGCAGTTTAGTCATGAGAGTTGTATTTGTGCCGACATGGACAACTTCTATTAGTGAATATTAATGGTGATTTAATGAAAAGTGAGTTTTAGAAAATAAAAGCTAACCGATATAATGAATTTTAGACATTTTGAAAAGTTATGATGAATTTAAGAAAAAATACTAAAAAGTAATGGTGAATTTAATATTTATGGTGCTTTAATCGAAGATGAATTTTGAAAAATAAAAACTCACTGAAATGATGAATTTTAGAAATTTCTTAGAAAATAAAAACTCACTGAAATGAAATGGTTAATTTTAGACATTTTGAAAAGTTATGTTGAACTCAGCAGAAATACTACTGAGTTTTAGATAATTAAAAAAAAAAGAATCCATACCATACTCGTCAACTCGTGGTGGTAGTTGATATCCAAAACCAAATCAATCTAAATGTGATCCGAATCCGTTCTAATTCCATGGGTAAGACTTGGCAGTTGGCTCCAATATGGATTCCAACAAATCAAATTTAGATATTTGCTCTATCCGATTTGAACGAATTCGTTTGGCAGGTTGACGCCAACCAGAGGTTGATGTATGGACTGTGTCACTGTGGACCCTGTGAATCTGAAATTCCCAGTCTTCCTCAGTAGTATCACCGAGATTTGATGTATGGACTATGGACCCTCTACAGAAAGTATCTCCTTTCAGGCTTCCTTATCTCCTTCGTCGTGAGAAGAATCCCAAACTCGCTCTGCAACTCTTCCGAAACCCTAACTCAAACAACCCTCTGAAGCTCTTCCGTTACAGCCTCCCCTCTTATGATATCATCATCACGAAGCTCGGACGCGCCAAAATGTTCAATGAGATRGAGCAAATCCTCGCTCAGATGAGCCAGGAGACTCGATTCATCCCCAAAGAGATAATTTTCTGCAATATCATCTCCTTCTACGGCCGCTCTCGCTTGTCCGAACAAGCGCTTCGAACTTACAATGGAATTCCCGCTTTTCGTTGCCAAAGAACGGTAAAATCCTTCAATTCTCTCCTCAATGCCCTGTTGAATTGCAGAGAACTAGAAAAAATTCGAGAAATTTATAAAGATATTGATCGATACGCGTCTCCCGATGCTTGTACTTATAATATCCTGATAAATGCTTGCCGTTTGAGTAACTCGTTGGATGATGCTTGGAAGTTGTTTGATGAAATGCGAAGGAAGGACATTAAACCGAATGCAATTACTTTTGGGACACTGATTTCTGTCCTCTGTGCCAATTCGAAGTTGGATGATGCTTTTAGATTGAAAGAGGATATGCTGAGGATCTTTGGTTTGAAACCTAATGCTTTTGTTTATGCTTCGTTGATCAAAGGCCTTTGTAAGGCCAATGAGTTGGATTTGGCCTTTAACCTAAAAGATGAGATATTGTTGGAGAAGACTGTAGAGTTGGATTCAGCAATTTATACTACTTTGATAAGTGAACTCTTTAGGGCTGGTCGGAAAGGAGAGGTTTCTGGGATTTTAGAGGAGATGACCAGAATTGGCTGCAAACCTGATACAATTACTTACAATGCTATGATCTCTGGATTTTGTAATGAGAAGGATTTTGATTCAGCCTTTGCTCTCCTAAATGAAATGACAGAGAAAGGATGTAAACCGGATGTTATTAGCTATAATGTAATCATTGCTGGATTTTGCATGGATGGCAGATTAAAAGAAGCAATTGAGTTGTTTGAAGATATGCCAAGACGGAAATGTGCTCCTGATGTTGTGTCTTACAGGATACTTTTTGATGGTCTTTGTGACGGGATGGAGTTAAAAGAAGCAGCATTGATTTTGGATGAGATGGTTTTCAAAGGGCTTATACCTCGAGCTTCAAGTGCAAATAAGTTTGTGGGCATGCTTTGTCAAGAAGATAAGATGGATCTGCTAACTTCAGTCTTGAATACACTGGCAAAGGGAAATGCTGTTGACATGGATACATGGAAGGTGGTGATTTCAGTGGTGATCCAGAAGTCTGAGCTGTTGGATCTTTCCAAACTTGTTGATACCTTGGTTTTGTCATGAAGGAATTAATGAATATTCCCAATCATGCTTTAGTTTGTATACTGTCTATAAAAACCATTTTAATCAATTATCCCTGAATAACATGGGTCTCTGAAGGCACAGGCTAACAGCATGTCTAGATTTGCTTCTTGCTGCCATACTGTTCTTTAACCGCCTGCTAGTGAATGGGCACTATGGACTTTACATGGTTAGCTTCCAATACACAAACGACAGATGGCAAATAAGAATCAGCAAACAGAAAGTTTGGATTAACTCCAGGTGGAACTCTCGAATGGTGAACCAGTAAAACTGATCCAGACATTTATAACTACAAAATGACTGGAAACAAAAGTGACTATGGACATGCAACTTCTAAAGATGATAAATCTTTAGATGATAGGATATCTTTATATTTGGTGGTCAAAATCCAGCATGATCAAGTATGGGAGGAGGCATCAAAGCACTATGTGCCACTACATAAAGAACTATGTGCCTTCTTCCTCAATGGCCACCAAAAAGCAGTTGACCATGTTAAGCATTTGGAGGACCAGGATCAGTCAATTGATGGACAGAGCTGGTCTCTCGTTTTTGTGAAGACTCAAGGGGTGGCATCAGGTGGGGGTAGAGGGAACAAAGGTTGTGGTAGATGCCTGAAGATTTGGAGTATTTTCATTTTTATTCTTGAGGTCGTGTGGTGGTCATATTTGTGGCCAGTTGATAAGGGGAGGAAGCGCTTCTTTCTTTTTTTACTGGGAGGGAGGTGGTTGTTACTGGGTCTTGGGTAGATTGACATTATCACTAGGCGGGGTCTCCTTTGTCTTGTACTCTTGTCCATGTAAGAGGTAGATTCTGTTATTTTGTGTTGGGCTGTGTTGCTGTCCTTCCTTTTCTGTTTATCTTTTGGGCCTTAGGTCTGTCATTTGTATCTCTTCCTCTTGTATCTGGTTCAGATTTGCACTGCAAACAAACAGAGCCTAAGTGAAATTTTTGTTATCAATAAAAAGAACATTTTCATGCTATAATTTCCTCTTCATGGAATGGGTATATTGGAAGGTTGACAGTTTGACAGGTTCTTCATCTTCTGTTCTAACTCTCGAAACCTTTGACCCAATGATAGACTTAACAATTTTCACTTTCTACCCCCACATGTCTTGCTGATTAAGATTAACTCTCGAAACCTTAGGTCTGTCATTTGTATCTCTCCCTCTTGTATTTAGTTCAGATTTGCACTGCAAACCTTAGGTCTGTCATTTGGAAGGTTGACAGTTTGGCAGATTCTTCTTCTTCCTCCTGTTCTATTAACACTCGAAACCTTTGACCCAATGATAGATTTAACAATTTTCTGTTTCTACCCCCACATGTCTTACTGATTAAGAGCAGGGGCACCATTTAGGTAAGGTTCAACAGTATGTGGCCACAAAATTGATGCCGATCACCAAAAAAATCATTTTTTTTTAACTAGGAGGAAAAAAATCTTTTGAACCATTGTTTGATATTTAGATCAATTGATAAGAAAGATAGCAAATTCTCAAACAAGGAAACTTCAACACCTCTTTTCAGAAGGGGAATTTTATATCAATTAAGTTATCTATGCTATACAATTAAAAGTGTGAATGAAAGAGTGGAACTTTTATTTGATTAAAACACCTAAGTCTTGAATTTGATCACTCTCTAATTATAAGGAAAGAAATGTAATTTGAACAATCACTTTTCTCTCATTAAGTCTTATATTTGAGGTATTAATATTCATTGAATCCAAATTTTGGTCCCTCTCAGGTTGTGTGGGCACAAAATGTAATTTAAACTATTATATTTCTTCTCATTGAATTCTCTCTCATTAAGTCTTATATGTAGGGTATTAACTCCCCTTTTTCATTAAATCCTATGTTATAACATATTAAAGAAAATAAATGTGTTAGAGAATAATTATTTTTAGGGTAAATGACTTAAACATACCTTGAGTTTTTCAAATAGAATTAAGTGTGTGTGTGTGTATAAATATATTTTAGATATGTTATATGTATTATTTTATATTTAATTTATGTTTTTTAATTTTATTTATTTATAAAAAATATTAAAAACTGCAATTTGAGGCCAAAAAAGGAAATTTTCCCTGAAAATAGCGGAGCAATGCGCCTTGGGATGCATAGATCTCGAAAATTTATCCAAAATAAAAAAAAAATCACCCCAATCAAACATTGGAGTGCGAAGTTATGGTCTCCAAAAGTTTTCTATGCATTGAGTGTACAATCCGCGACCCGGTCACTGGGTCGAATGGGTCAATAATCGAATTGGCCGAGTTGAACAGTTCTTGACCAAGTTAACTGTTTTTGACCATCTGGTGGGTCTTGACTGAACCAGACCCGAAATCCAGGCGGGGTGATGATTTGAACGGCTCGACCAACCAGGTCAACGGTGGGTTGAAATCAGTGATCACAAATACAGCTGTTTTTTTTATTTATTTTTTATTAGAAAGCAATACACAGCTTACTCCTTTTGATTGAAAACAGTGATCTCTCTCTGTCTGTCTTCCTATTATCACTCTTCCTCTCTCTGATTCACTTGTTGGATCTAACCATCTCAAATAGGATCAATTCGTATCTACTCCCCTTTGTTCCCTAATCTTAATTGACACCTTTTGTATATTCAGCTATGTCACTATGTGTTTAAGTTTTTAAGTTAACTTGATTGAAATCTAAGAATCTATTGGGTTTATAGAGCAATCGCCATGGAAGCAACAACACATGATTTGAGCCAATTATCGGTGGCTGCAAAGGAAGAGTCTTTGAAGAGGAATACCGATGGGTTATACCGTGTCAGCCTTGATGTGGAAGGGACCCATACTTCACCAGTGGTAAGACCGATAGCTGCAAGAAGGGTCTTAAGTTAAATGTGGGATGGATGCAGAAGCATCAACATAAAAGAATCCCACATCACTCCAGCCATCGGATAAATGATGTGAATCAGAAGTTAGGTCTCATATGTGCAAAAAAGGACGAAATAGGAATTTAAAAAATTTAAATGAGTTCCCATGTGATGTTTGATGAAGGGTATGTTTAAGTAGGGGTGAGAAAAAAAAACGAACCAAACAAAAAAATTGATCGAAACTGAATCGAAAAATCGGTTAACCGAACCATTCGGTTCGATTTCGGTTTGGTGTTTTTAAAAAATCGAAGGTACTGGTTCGGTTTCGGTTAACCAATTTAAAAAACCGACAATTAATCGAATTGACCGGTATATATGCTTTTCTATATATTTATGTATATATATTTTATATATTATAAATTAATAAATATGCATAATATATTATATATTATTTATTATTTAAAATATAATATTTTATATATATATATTTATAAATTTTTATTATATATTTATATATATTTTTTAATAAATATTGTAAAGTCAAAAAACCCAAAAAATTGATGAACTGAACCGTCGGTTAACCGAACCGGCCAACCGGTTAATTGACTGGTTTCAATTTGGTTCCAATTACCGGTTTTCCAAAAACCGGTACTACTAGCTTGGTTCACAAAAAAGGCCCATAGTTCGATTACTTGAACCGTGAGCACCCCTATGTTTAAGTCCAATGGGGTCAGCCTACAAGGTATATTTAAGTCTATTTGAAAAACACAAAGTACAGTTAAGTCATTTTATGAAAACTCAAGGTATGTTTAAGTCTTGTCTTTGTTTTTTATTGATGATAGAAATAAAATATAATTTTGAAACCAATCCAAAAATGGAGTTATTTTCTAGTTTGGTGGTGAGTCAACAATTCAACTTTTTGGGCCACATTGTATCAACCCTTGATGTCATAATTAAATAATAATAATAATAATAATAATAATAATAATAATAATAATAATTTAAAAAGATGAAAATAATGCAAAAGCATAAAAATACAAAAAAAATTGTAAAAAACAATTGGACATATCTCTAATATCATATATTTATCATATAAAATAAAAATAAGTGTGACAAATAAGAAAAAATTTTATAGACAATATATAAAAAATGTAAAAAAATTGGAAACATATTATTTACTATCATCGTCATGATAAAAAATTACCATGTGCAAAAGCACCTGCACATTTACTAGTGAAAAAAATGTCTTTGTTACTTAAACTGTACGACTCTTATTCCCCTTGCAAACTTTGTTGCTTGCATAAAATGTTTGTAGACCTATTCATCACAAAGAGCTGCAGTTTCTGTCTATGCCAAGTAGATAAGAGGTTGCAATTGTTTCTGATGCGGCCGGCTTAATGGCTTATAACGCAAAGGACAAGTAAAATGGAGCTGCTGAATGTTTGGATCCGAATTGCATCTTGAGTAACTGGAGGCATCCAAGTATGTTGCCTGCTAAGAGTTGACACTACAAATTTTCTTGGCTAAAAGACCAGTTATTAGAGTATTAGTTAGATAATGTGAAGTACTCTCCAAAATTGGATGCTTAAAGTATCAAAAAATAAAATGATTTCTTTGTTTTTACATCACTTTTAGTCCTGTCATTCAAGGGTACAATGGTTGGGTTGCTCCATTGCAATTTGGGTGATTAGGGTCAAATCTTAACAACCTCTCTCCATGGAAGGTAGGGGTAAGGGCCGTAAGGCTGCATACATTTGTCCCTTCCCATACATTGCATTGGTGGGAGCCTTGTGCACTAAGCTGCCCTTTTTTATTTAGTTCCACCATCCAAAAGGAAACCATTTCCAGATGCTAATTAGATATTGCAATGAGTATTTCAAGATCTTTATGAAAGAACCCAGGGTCCGTTTGGTTCATGGCCAGAATTGGAATCAGAATCAAAATCGGAATATTCTAATCTCCTCATCTGTTTGGTTTAGATTGAAACAGGAACCAGAATCAGAATTGGCTGGAATGGATTCTCATCCCCAGGGGAGGGGGAGGGAATGGCTATTCCCTCAAATGGGGGAATGCCATTCCAGCAAGAATAGGAATGGGATTCTGATTCCACCCAACCAAACAATTGGAAGACCATTCTGATTATGATTCCAGACCCC